GTGTTTCATCCAAGCCGATCAGTGGTACCTCTCGCCATCTAGTGGTAGCATTCCTTAATGGCAGATTCTTACGGCCCGAGATTTAAAGCTGATCCTGCAAACAAAACGTAACACCATCTAGGATTTGCTGTGAAATGCTGGTGGTCTCTTAAGACATCCAGCTGTTATTATTTATTATGTCATTCTTGGTCCAGTGTGACCAGCCTGGGTTTCTGGGAACGAGAAGGGGCACACATTAAGTTCTCTTTCGAAAACAGCGGATGTCTTTTTATAGTAGAAGGAAGAAGTCAGAGGGGAACTGCTTGGTGCTGGGTTGACGTCAGGGCCACAGAGGTGGCTCCAGAACCACCTCTCCAAGGGTGGGTGACTTGTGCAGCCTGGATGGGGACCAGCCTCTCCTCAGCCCATAGAGTTGGGATGTACTAGGGAGGCCTAAGTAATATATTTGAAGTTAACCCTGAGATTGACTGTTGGCGTTCTTTTCCTCTTGATTTTTAAATTGATGGCAATTTCTAACTATCACAGGGTGCCTGGGGGGCTCAGTTGGTTAAGCGTCTGATTCTTCTTGATTTTGGCTCAGGTTGTGACCTCAGGGTTGTGAGATCACGCCCTGTGTCCGCCCAGTGGGGAGTCTGCTTGGGATTCTCCCTCTCCCTCTGCCCCTCCCTCCACTCACGCTCTCTCTCAAGTAAATAAATAAATCTTCAAAAAAAATAAAATCTTCCACAACCACAAAACCAGCCCTGTCCTAAAGTCTTAGGCATGTCCCCAGATGGAACTTAAGTACAGAAGGTCTGATTGCCAGTCTTGCTATTCCATGATTTCAATTAAAAATTGAATTGGCTTTTTAATGACCTAGAATGTGGTGAAACGAATCAGGTGAAGACTCTCAACATGGGTGACATGTTCCTTTATTTGTGATTTTTTTGGGGGGAAGATTACAGAAATATCATTCACTTGTTTCTATAAATATTTGATAAGGCCAATTGAATGTGATGAAATATTAAAAATATCATTTATTAAATATTTAAAAGTTCAGTCCTTGGAACTGGCCGAATCTCTTCATTCTACTGCCAGCTGAAAGGAGCAATTTATAAATTCTGAATTACAAAATTAGGAACTGGGAATATAGCTATACAATTATTTTTGCTTTGAACCATTAGCCATTTTCAGCTATGGGCCTTTCTTTTCTTTTTTTTTCTTTAAGATTTTATCTTTAAGTAATCTCCACACCCAGCATGGGGCTCGAACTCCCAACCCCGAGATCAAGAGTCACATGCTCCACCGACTGAGCCAGCTGGGCGCCCCACTATGGGTCTTCCCATGAGAGTAGCAGAAGGGCACACGCTGTGCTCCTACCCATCACAGGCTTCCTGCGGTGTGCTCTGCCTAGCCTTTCCACATTCCTAGGGGGCTGAACACAGTCATTTGGCTTACGTGTCAGGACTTATGGACTTGCACACTGGAATAATCTTCAGCTTTATTTGCCGCGCTTATAACTTTATTAATAAAACCTTTAGTACGAAAACAAATTGGAACCAGATATTGCTATTAATGGTGCATTGTTAATAGTAAGTCGAACTCACATTTTCTGTGTTTTAAAATGAGATTAGTGGGGCGCCTGGGTGGATCTGAGCCGAAGGCAGAGGTCATGATCCCAGGGTCCTGGGATCAAGCCCGGCATCGGGCTCCCTGCTCGGCGGGGAGTCTGCTTCTCCCTCTTCCACTCCCCTCTGCTTGTGTTCCCTCTCTTACTGTGTCTCCCTCTGCAAACAAATAAAATCTTTTAAAAAAATAAATAAAATGAGATTAGTGACAAAAAACAGAGGGCTTTGCACTACTTCCTTTCAGGTGGCCTGTTTCTCAGTATTGTCTCTGTAACTGCAGGCAGTGTTCCAGCCTCCGTCCTAGATGGTTTAACGAGCTGTCTGGGGAGGATGGGAGTCTTGGCAGCTGGGTAATGGCACAGTGCTAGGTGCTGGGAATTACCAGAGAACAAGAGGTTTAGTTCACGTTTGAATGGAGGAGAAGTCACAGCGACACCTAATGGCATTTACTGAGCGCCAGACTCTGTCCTAAGCCTTTCACCGAACAACTCATCAGCTAGGTACTATTGCCATCCTCAGTTATGGGTGGGGAAACTGAGGCCCACGGAGGAAGCCATATAGCCTGCCCCGAGGCCCCCGGCTCGCACCACTGCCCTCTCCCTGAGGGTGTGGCGACGAGCAGCCAAAGAAAAGGAAAAGCGGACGTGGGGACCAGAGTAGAAGGTGCTGTAGCTGGAGGAGGGAACGTTTGAACGGAGACCTGAGTGAGGTGATGAGTGCCCCTGAGACCCTGTCGGGTTGGAAGAGGTCAGAGCTGTTTTAATTACGTTAAGACGTCACTTGCCTTTTTCCTCGTCTCTCACGTTCCTGCTGGAGCTCTCTAGGGGCCGCGTGACATGTGACAGAGTGGCCTGCAGGCTGCGGGAGAAGCAGGACTCCGCAGACTGTAGAAAGACTTGCAAACATGTGACACGTCGCCACTCTTCTTCGTAAACTCTTGTTTTAAAAAGTATAGTTACCTCCACGAAAATGTTATTTATGTTAACATGTAATAGACATACTGTTTTTAAAAATGAATTGATAAATAATAAAATATTTCTTGATTTTGATTCCCAGTGCAGTAAATGCTGATTAGGTCGCCAGTTAATAGATAGATCCCACATGAACGAAAGCCACGTAGGGTCCTCAGGAACATGTGTCCGTGGGCTCTGAGAGCAGAGGTGGAGAAGCGTCCGTCCGGCTGCCATGCAGGGGGGCAAGGATGAGGTTGGTTACCTGGATTTTGTAAATAGTCCAGGTGAGCAGCATGGACGATGAGAAATGGCTCTGTCTGGATTGATTTTTGTGTGTGGATTTTTTTTTTTTAATTGTGGTAACGCACACATAAAGCCTCCCATCGGAAGTGCACACTGTGTTAAGTACATCCATTCACGGTGCTGTGTGGCCGATCCCAGAACTGTGTTCATGTCACAAAACTGAAACTCTGTACCCATGAACCAGTAACTCCCATGGGTCTGGATTTACTTTGAAAGTGAAGACGACAGGGTTTGCTCTTGGTTTAGAAAAGGTGTGTGTAGGGGCACCTGGGTGGCTCAGTCGGTTAAGTGGCTGCCTTCGGCTCAGGTCATGATCCCAGGGTCCTGGGATCGAGCCCCGCATCGGGCTCCCTGCTCAGCAGAGAGCCTGCTTCTCGCTTTCCCTCTGCCTGCTGCTCTGCCTACTTGTGCTATCTCTCTGTCAAATAAATAAATAAAAAATATCTTAAAAAAAAAAAAGGTGTGTGTAAATGTCTGGTAAATGCACCATCAGTCAGTGAGACGGTAGCTTCTTTCCCGCCTCCGTGCTGGTGTAGAATGGCACATGGGAGCCGCAGAGCACATGCCCGTGAAGCCCAGTCTCCTGGCGGCTCATGATGGTCATCACGTGACAGCAAACACATTGTGGTGGTGGTTAGTATCACATCGTGGCTAAACACTGAATCTTAGTTTTAGCTCCTTCTGAAGATGGACTTGCGGGAAAGAATCGGGTCGTTCATTCAACAAATAGGCACCATCTACTTGGAAATAGAGCTTCTTCATACCATTCCTTCTACTTAGATCGGCTCAGCTGGGGCCAGCGCTCCGCGGTCAATACACACACCGAGGTTGTAATGTGAGCACTCGTAAGGTGAAGGTAAAAAGAAACGAGAAGGTTTGGGCCGCCCAGACCGTGCTGGGGGAAATGGGGACTCAGAGAGGGCCCTGGCTCTGAGCAGGAGGAGGTCTCGCATGGGCCAAGCCCCAGGCAAAACAAATGGAATGAAAACTTGGATTTCACCGCGAGAGCAGACCGCCAGGATGGCAGTTTTTACCTTAGGAACAAGAGCATCCGTGCCAGTGCCCAACCAAGAAGGACACAGGTCGCTTCTCCAGTGATCTGCCCCAGCCTTGGGGGTTGTGTGCATGTCCCTGGTGTGCAGATGAGGAGACTGAGATTCAGAGGCCGGTTATGTGCTAAAGGTCACGCAGCCAGTAATAGGAGGGAGCTGGAATCTGACCTTAACACGGCCTGACCCTCAAAGTGGGTTATTTGTAAACACTGTTTTCAGTCAAGGTTTTCAGAAATTTGCGTTTAGTTTTATTTATACTCTCTAATTTTTTTTTTAAGATTTTATTTATTTATTTGACACAGAGAGAGACACAGCAAGAGGAAGAGAGGGAACACAAGCAGGGGGAGTGGGAGAGGGAGAAGCAGGCTTCCCGCGGAGCAGGGAGCCCGATGCGGGGCTCGATCCCAGGACCCTGGGACCATGACCTGAGCCGAAGGCAGACGCCCAACGACTGAGCCACCCAGGTGCCCCTATATTCTGTAATTTTATATTCATAAGTTTTTTTTATATTTTTATTTGTAATGCTAGTTTTAAATAGGTAATACTGTATTATTATTGCCATAAAGAAGTGATAGTATATTTTTCTTTGTAACTTTCCTGTGATAGCTTAAAAACAGTTTGTCTATAACCATCAGTCTTTTAATTTCTAGAGCAGTTTATTTCTTAATTCGGTTGCTTCCTAGACTCAGTTTCTATATTACTTACTCCGGAATTCAGAATTTCATCCCATTAGGGTCTTGATGCCAAACTTTTCAACAAAAAATACAAGTGTTGGGGTGTCTGGGTGGCTCAGTTGGTTAAAGATCTGCCTCAGCTCAGGTCAGTCCTGGGATTGAGCCCCACGTCGGGCTCCCTGCTCAGTAGGAATTTTGCTTCTCCTTCTCCCTCTGCCCCTCCCCCCCTGCTCGTGCTTTCTCTCTCTCTCAAATAAATAAATAAAATCTTTAAAAAAATTACAAGTGTTGCCTTCCAGACTAATGAGTGTTTTATTATTTTAGTAATAGATGTGTGTCTTTAAAAGCAGTGGAGTTTAATAATTCTGACCTGGTCTATTCCCTTTCTTCTTTTTCTCTTTTTAAACACAGTTAACAAGCACAAACCATGGCTCGAGCCCACCTATCATGGCATAATCACAGAAAACGATAATGCAGTGCTTCTTGACCCTCCTCTGATTGCCCTGGATAAAGACGCACCTCTGCGATTCGCAGGTATGAACGTGGCTTTTATCTTACTGTTGATAAATGAGGACTGGATGCGAAGCATTTCACATATCCCATTTAGATTATTTCTGAGCCTTTCTGAAAATGTCTTAATAGTTAAGAGGTGTCTGTGGCTTCTGTGTATGACATTTTTTCCTTTTAATTTTAATAGAGTAACTGGAAAGAAAAAACCTGTCCTTGCTGAAAAGCAAAATATTTATTGCATCATTGTATTCCTCGGTGTGACCAGATAGAGAACACCTAGACCAGTGTATCTCAGACTAGCGTGCACACAGAGCACCTGAGGATCATGTTAAAAATGCGGATTCGGGTACAGCAGGTCGGGGAGGACCTGCGATTCTGCCTTTCTGACCTGTTCCCTGGTGCTGCTGGTGCTGCTGGTTCGTGTGGCTCGAGGCTGCCGTTGCATGGCCCAGATGTCAGGTACTGGGAAAGACTGAGCTGAGAAAACGGAGCCGTGTTTATAGAGGAATCCTTTTGGCTTCGATTTTTACTTTTAATAAATTTTTAACATGAGTTGCTTCATAAGCTTGTAACCTAAGTATTTATAAGAGACAAATCTCTGGGATTGCTTTGGAGGTTTTCTGCTTTGTAACATTTAATAGCATTTTCCAGATCAGAACTGTGCTTTTACACAGTGACCATAGTAGCTTCCTTAGCTGGGGGGGAAAGTGCTGCTTCACCCTTGGTTTGCCTCAGAGTCAAAACTGACATCGTGACGGTAATTTTTGTAAAGAGTAGTTTTTGCAGGATATTTTTCCCAAACCCAGTTTCTCATATTAAAGAAGGTGTTCTCTTTGTCTAGGGACAGATACGGACAATTCAGTGAACTCATATAGATTCTATCGTACATTAATTTTACTGTGGTAAATTGAGGGAAATGAGTGTGCGGTTGTTTCTGAAGAGCTATTTTTACAATGACTGTGTTCTTCGTATTCTGTTCGAGTGCCACATCGCATTTTCAGGAACGTAACCTGAGCACCAGTTTGTGCTCCTCGAGTCAGTGGTGGAGACAGACCAATTAGTTTTACTTGTTTATTGGTTTTTACAGAGAAACCCAGTTAGATGGACAGGAGAGGAAGTGCTCTGTGCCGTGAACACACATAGTGTTTGTCTGTCAGCTGAGGTGGCTTGTTCCATTTTGTTTTCCCTAGATTTAAAGCCATTTTAGCATTACGTGTTGGTTTTCTCTGTAACTACCTAGGTGTATATATACACACACAGACATCCCATGTGTACCGTATGGTTACTATGTCCAGCTCTTCCTCGGGAGTGGGATATTTAGTGCTGTGTAAATCAGCTTATGTTTTGGAGTGGACTTACACCTTTCATGCATTTTAAGGGGTGACTGCACTCAGGAGTTCTAGACTCCCTCCCTTGGGTCTCTGTGGAGTATCCGCTGTAGACCTGTTGTGTGCAGAGCACCCTCCTGCTGCCTCACTAATAATACGGAACGTGTATAGAGCCTCTGCAAGCTCGCAGGCACTGTTCCAGGTGCTTTACAAATACAAATTTGTATGTAATCCTCCACGGTCTTAGGAGGTAAGTATGCTTCCTGTCATCATCCCCGGTTTGTTTCTTTTTAAAGTCCATACATTTTTACATAAGGAATTTACATGTGATTCCTTCCACTCCCGATCACCTCAGCTCCTCCAGAGTCGGCACCGCGGTCTTCAAAATAGTCCTTCTCAAAAGAACTTCTGTTCGGTCCTAGTTGTCACTGTCTCAGTCCACGGCTCCTCCGGCTGGGCTTCTTTGACCTCCGCTTGAATATGGACATACTTCAAAAATTCCCCTCGTGTTTTGGGTCAGAGTAGATGGCTCTGCCTGGTTCTCAATTTCAGACACCCCCTTAACATGAAGAAGTTCAAACCATGTTCACCCCGGAAAGATCACCCCCTAGCATTGGACAGATTTGGGGGGTATGCCAATACCTTGAAGTCCAGACATTGTGTTCTCAAGTGAGAAGCCGGAAAAAAGAAGCCATCTTTGTTTCATGTCGACGTAAAAAGAATGTTAAATTCAGTATAGCTGAGATTTCTCTTATGTCCTAAGCTTCTAGTCATTTTGTGGTCCTGGACCCAGCCTTCCCCACCATCACTTTCCCCCGTTTTAGATGTCGTGTTCCCTGTTTTCCGTATCAGCCGTCAGACTGAACAGTGAGTTCTGGGCTGCAAGACAGGACTTACCTCGGGCTCTTGTCTAAGTCTTCGCCCACAAATGAAACAAAAGCAAACGCAAGTGCTTTCTGCCATCCCCATGTGAAGGAAAGGAAGCTGGGACACAGAGCAGTGACCCCATCTGTCAGCATGTGTCAGAGGCAGGGTGGCTCTTTGCCATGATGAGGCCCTGGTGGGCACTGCTGGAAGCTACAACGGAAGCAGGAAGTGAAATACACTTTGAGGAAAAAGTCCTATTAATGAAATGTCATCTATTTTTTCTTTCTCGTTGGATTGAATGTTATTGCAGCATTTATCAAAACCTAATGTATTGTCATGAATGAAATAATACTTATTTTAAAGTTGTATGTTTTTAGGAGTTCCCAGCTGTTTTTTATCGATGTGCAAAAGTTAACATATTGAGATTTAAAAAACTATGAAGAGAAGCAGTTGAGAGCCAAGTCATAGTGGTAACGTGATTGTATTTGCCCTAGTAGACAGGTAAATCGGTCCTTTTCCTTCTGGAGATTTTCATGGGGGACGAATTATTCTTATAATCTTTTTAAAAAATATAATCCACACAGCAGCGAAGTATACATACAGTTCACTGGGTTTGAGTATATTCACAGGATTGTGCAGCCATCAACCACTGTCTGATTCCAGAACATTTTCATCACCCTCAAAGAAATCCTTGCACCCATTAGCAGCCACTCCCCACATCCCCCACCCCTTTGACAACCTAGTTCCTGTCTTACGGATTTGCCTATTCTGGATTTGTAGTGACTAGCGTCTTTCGCCTCACGTGGTAATTTGAAGCTTCACCCGTGCTTCAGTAGTCGCATGCATCCGTCCTTCCTTTTTATTGCTGAATAATATCTCATCATGTGGACATACCACATTTCCCATTTATCTGTTCATCAGCTGACACGCATTAAGATGGTTTCCACTTTGTGGCGATTATGAATCATGCTGAAGTGAACATTAGCACACAAGTCTCCGTGTGGACGTAGGTCTTCGGTGTGCGTGGGTGTACACCTGGGCATGAAGTTGCTGGGCAAATGCTCTTACTAAAGCACAGCCCTGGTCCCCCTGCCCTGGGGGGGCAGCTGGGGGGCCTCCCTCCCTCCTCTCTTGCCATGGCACCCGTCCAGCCGCAGCTCAGAACGCTGCCCCCCTGAGGCCGTAGCTGGCAGGTACGTCAGGAACACAGACTCCAGCCTGGGTTTGAGTCTTGCCTAGGCCAACTACTGGCTGGATGGCCTTGGGCAAATGACTGAACATCTCTGTGTCCCAGTTTCATCCGTTGTAAAAAAGGAGAGTGATGTCACATACCTCCAGGGCTTGGGGATTATTTGCTTATTTATAAAAATGAAGAGCTCAAAACAATGCTTGGTACACAGTAAGTGCTGTATACAGTGTGTGCTGCTGCTGTTGTTAATGATAGAATCTTCTAGAAACATTTAACATTTTGTGAGAAATATTTTTCTGTCTTTCTGTAACAGTCCTCGTAGTGTTCCATTTTCTCACTGAGTTTCTTAAATAGTTTTTTTGGGCAAGGCAGAGGCCTCATCGGGAGGCTTATTTTGATCTTAGATTGGTTTTGGTGATGACATGGAGTTTAGTTTACCAGCATGATGGTGCTGGCGCTGTGGCAGTGGGAGCATCTAACGCTTGCTGAGCAGATGGCAGAGGTTGTTCTAAGGGCTTTACATGGGTCACTTTCTCTGATTCAACAGTCTCCTGCAGCAGGTACGCTCGCTGCTGCTGGCTTTCCAGATGAGGGACTGGAGGTCGGGGTCTGTCTGTCAGTAGCATGACAGCTTTGTTTTTACTTAATCCCCAGCACCCAGGCTGGCATGTGGGAGTAGCTGATGCCCCACAAACATTCGTAGAAGGAACGAGAGACTTTGCCCAAGATCACCCAGCTCAGAAGTGGTAGAGCCGCCCTCAAGCCAGGCAGTCTGGCTCCAGTGTGGATTCATACCTTCGCTGTGCCCACTTCCCCGGCGTTATCTTTAAAACACTGTGAACGTCCCGGCTCACAGTCGTATCCCATCACGGGACGTGAGTGTGGGCAACCACCAGGGTTTACTTGTCGAAGCCCCGAGATAAATACACATAACGTTGGAAGCTTAATCACCAGAGTGTGTTGTAAACAGTCTCCAATCAGACCCTAGTGTTGAACATACAGGGTCCAGTCCAGATTGTTTCCTTGGGGGGAAACCCAGAGACTAAAGTCTTGGTACTTGTCAGCTATTCTAGAAAATTAAAATGAGTCAATTCCTTACTCAACCCCTTTTCCGTAATCTGCTAATAGCCCGAGTAGACGTGGGTATGGAGGTATGTTATATGTTTTATGTATTCCATGGGGAGTTAGGAGCCCGCACCCCTTATATAGGCCACCCCTCCTCACTGCATGGAGGAGAAACCCCAGTCTCCCCCTCGGCCCCTTGTTTGCAAGCTCTTCCCTTTGTTGCGTGGTTCCAGCCCAGCACTCATTTCCTGCCTTCCCAGATGGAGTTCGGATCATTTGCAAGTAGAGAATCCAAAGGAAATTTCAGGGCAAGAATGGGAACTTTGTCTTTGTTGATATTTAGTTAGAACCAGCTCAGATCTGTGATACTTTTCTCCATATTCTGGGTAATTTGTGTAACTCATGTGGCCTGAGGATGGCCAGGGGGGTTGACCGCCACACATCACCACACAATTCTGCTTTTTTAGCAGACGCAACTGGGCAGACATTGTGTTTGCCACAGTGACTTGGATATATTCGGTTAAGCCACGTGAAATCGCCATTGTTGTGTGTTGAAAATATCAAAATATTTGAAA